TCCAGGAGGCAGGCACCACAAGATTTAGCAAGGTAACCAGTATGATAGAAAACAGGCTACTTACCGCAGTGGATGCTGAGGACCGAGATTTATGGCGAAAGCGAGTCTGCAACCGATCGTTGGAAACGCTGAATAAGTAAAAGCAAGGAAGATACAACGATGGAATGAGAGCTATGCCTTGTTTCACCACATTTAACTACAACAAAACACATTCATCAAAAAATAATCAAATAAAAAGGTTCATTGGCATTACAACTAAATGATATGCAAATTAATCTCCGGGCGCTGAGAAATGGTGAATCCAACTTAATCAGTCTTGTCCTTATAATGGACCAAGCGAGTCCTTCCGATCTCAGGAGCAGAGTGAGAGTCACCGAGGTTCCACCAATCCTCCTCGAATTCCTTGAAGATCGACGTTATACTTACGTACGTTATCCTTATTTATTAGAAATTTATCCACATTTATGTTTTAGTCTATCATACTACTGCTGTACTGATTGTTGGATTTGGATTTATATAGCCTCACTTACATATAAACATGTCCCAGGTTGAGCCTATTCGCTTCGCGTAGTCCACCGGCAATTCCAACTTTTCCTATTTACAGAAAATAGCCGGCAGTCTCGAGAATCACCCACCCCGGGTGTTGGCATTCCGGAATACTTCAGTTTATCCTTCCAGTTTGCGATCCGGGGAGTGCTATCAACAGATAGGTCAATTTAGCACCCAACGCAGTCCCAAACGCATTCGTACTCACGTGGAGTGCTCGATTTTCTTCTATCACCTTTGACACATGTTATACAACTAGCCTAATTAATGGTCGTTTGGGTATTTCTATATTCCGCTATCACTACCTCACACATTTACCCTAATAAATACATTCACTCGCAACACTATCTAGGTATACACAAATATTATAACTATACACAATAGAAGAATCCATTTCCTCCGAGATCGGAACAGGGGACCCAAATATCGCTGCCGGGGTCAAGCGCATAGTTTTCAAATCGGGTGGCATTTCTGCGCACCTTCCTTAAGGAGCCAAGGAATTGCACACTTCAATTAGATGAGTCACATCACATCCGCGGGCTTTGGCCAAAAAAGAAGTGTCCGTTTCAACTCGCAGCTATCCCGATTTTTTACTGATTGGAATAAATATTATTCATTAAATATTGCGACAGAAGTTATCATCTGCAATCAAATTTGAATATCAGTCAAGTCTTCATCTATTTGCTCATGGATAAAACAGATCATATATAAAAATATACATATCCATATTTTCAATATCATATATAATTTATTCATTTATACAACATCACTCTAATATAAAAATAACCACTGGGATGAAAACCAATATGGCAATTCGATAAAATGCTCAAGCTCATAATTCAATAATCTTAAATGCCACGCCAAGAGGAAGAGCAGAGGTTGAAATATAGTAAGGTGGCAGCTGGCAATTTTCCTTCATGAATCAAAAAGCGCAAGCAGTTATTGAATACTTTTCTAATTGACCCTTGAAAGATCTTTTTTTCTATTTCAGTTATCTATCATTCAAGTAAATGTATGACAAGGAAAAAGCGTATTTAAAGCGAGGAACTATTGGTTCAGTGAAAATGCGAGACCGGGCGGACCGTAATTTAAAAAAAAATCGGGTGATAATTTAATAATGAAGTCAATTGTCTAATGACACCCGTAAAAATTCCACGTTTTGTACGATAACATTTCTTTAATAAAATTCCAAGCGAAATTGATTTTGTATAAATTCGTTTTAACAACCTCTTAATTAAATTTTATAATTGCGCTGGTTAGGCTGTGAATATATCTAGATTATTCAAAACGTTCTCTTGTTCTCTCAGTTAATCTCAGATGTGTCTTCTGCCTTATGCCAAATTGTTGCAAACATTAAATAATATAACTATAAGTGTTAGTTGGTGGAGATTTTGGAGGCTTTTAATTCATTTCACCCAACGTCACAATACACACAGTTAGAGGTGGATGGGAGACTCCCGTTTCTGTATTTGGTTGTAATCAGGGAGGAAAGAAAATTGTTAACAGAATGGTATATGAAACCCACCAACATAGGGTTTTAATTTTTCATCGGTCCATTCTTTTCAGATGAAGGTTAACATTATATACAACAATTAATTAAGGTTTTTAGTTGAGATGAAAAAAAAGTTAATGGCACGAGAGGGATTCGAATCCACGACCTTCGGCTTGATACGCGGGTTGAGATGGGGAGTTGATGTCCGAGTGGATCGAGGTCACGATAGCTCAGGTGGTAGAGCAGCGGCGTATCTAGCCGAAGGTCGTGGGTTCGAATCCCTCTCGTGCCATTGACTTTTTTTCATATCAACTAAAAACCTTAATTAATTGTAAAGTATTAATTGGTCAAGCGGACCACGAAATTAGTGAATTATATACAACTTGCTAAACGGGGCCCTGAAGCTCAGCAGTGAGGGTTTCCACAATGAGAATAAACAAAAACTTCTCTCTATGCTATTGGACAATGGTTACCCTAAACCCCTGAGTAATAGGTTAATGGAAAATAGGACGTTGACACATAGAGAAAGAACACCACTGGTAGAGAGAAAGGTCCATCAATCTGTGACTTATGTCAGTGAAACTTCGAAAAAATTAAAAACGTTGCTGGAAAGAAAACAGAAGGTGTGAAAGTTTTTTATAAGTACAATAATTGTACAATAAATACGATGATATATAAAGCATGCAAATACACAATGAAAAAAAACACAAGCAAACAAAATGTACCTTGGTGGAATAATGAACTAACAAATCTAAAAAAATTAACAAATCAAGCAAAAAGAAAATACCTAAATACAACGCATGCAGGAGAAAAAGAAGAACTAAAACAACTGTATAAAAGAACAAAAAGAAAATTCCATAATAATATAAAATATGAAAAAAGAAAAGGGTGGCGAAACTTCGTGACTATGGGGACTACCCTACAAAATCACAATGAAGAAAATTCACCCAAACGAAATATGTAAAATAAAAGACGGAGCAAATGAAACAGAAACAACTGCTGAATTGATGACCATCATCCTCAATAATATCTTCCCGCAGGATCAGACAGCAGCTGAAACCATAAAACAAAAAAAATACGAAACCACTACAGCAACTTAACAACGATTAATAACCAACCTAGTTTTACTGAGGAAGAAATGGACAAGGCAATAGCTAAAATAAAACTTAGGAAAGCACCCGGAAGGGACAAAATAGATCCGATTATTGCAAAAAAGAGCATGCAAATAATAAAAAAAGAACTTCTAAACATCTATAATGAATGTTTATGTCTAGGGTATTTTCCTCGATACTGGAAAGTAGCAAAAATAAAACTCTTGCTGAAACCGGGTAAAGAAAGAACCAAAAAAGAATCTTATAGAGGAATTAGTTTGATACCCGTTTTCGGCAAAATCTTGGAACATCTGATTGCGGAAAGAATTAAAAAAAAGATATCACTAATACCAAGACAATTTGGAAGTACGAAATCTAGGTCAACCACAGATGCAATACTAAACCTCCAAAAAAACGTTAAAGACAAAAGAGGAAAATATGTAGCTGCAATATACATTGATATTAGAGCAGATAGCTTATGGTGGCCAAAAGTAGTGGTTGACCTCTATAACAAAGGAATCAATGATCAACTACTCAAAGTTACCAAAAATTACTTCCACGAAAGATATGCAACAACAGAAATTAATAACGAAGAATTGTTCAAAAGAGTGAACCTAGGATGTCCCCAGGGCTACATCCTAGGACCACTTGTATGGATAATAGCCTTTGATGGAATATTGGAGGAAATGCAAACCTACCAAATTAGTGCAACTGCATTCATGGATGACTTGGCCCTAGTTGTTGATCGGAACAGCGTAAGGGAAATTGCTATTTTCAAATGTCGTGTAATCGGATTGGATTTTCAGCGACTTATAAGAGCTGTTTCGTGAAGTGACACTTCTTTTACTTGTTAAATATTAATCCATTTACGTTTTCGTGGTCAATTGACCAAGTTACTTCTTTCAATCAAACAATTATCCTTTCTATGTAAGGTCTTGGTTGAGATAAAAAAGTCAGTGTCACGAGCGGGATTCGAACCCACGTCAACAAAACAACAGCACCCCGTGGCCACTTCATAAGTCGCTAAGAATCCAATCCGATTACACGACGTTTGAAAATGGCAAAAAGAGGGAAAATTCGAACGGTTGTAGGTTGAGATGGAGAGAAGGTGTCCGAGAGGATCGAAGTCACGACAGCTCAAGTGGTAGAACAGCGGCGTATCTAGCCGAAGGTAGTGGGTTCGAATCCCGCTCGTGAAACCGACTTTTTTATCTCAACTAAAACCTTAATTAATTGAAAGATATAAATATGATTATGATGATGAAGAAAGACCTGGAACTGCATTAATCGAGACATAAACATGCTACAACTCATGGTTTTGACTTTGATAAAGTCAAAATCATGACTACAGAGAAAAATACAGGCCGCAGCCTTGTGATTAGGCAATAGGGCAAGGCCTCCCACCGGGAATTTTAGCAATACATTTTTTAGTTATTTATAAAAGGATTATTTATGTAACTACTTATTTAACTTATTATGCATACGTTTAGATCAACAGGCTGTGATAACAGTTTTGAAGAAATCCTTGTAAAAAAACGTTAGTTATTAGTTGATGGCGGTGTCAAAGAATCTCCCACGTGATAACAAGTATTGCAATTCGTGTAGTCAAACACCTGTGATATGTACCTGTAACGAGTTTTTATTTATTTATTTGTTTATGTACACATATCTTAAAATATGTGTGTGAAGAAGAGGTTGTAAAAGGATGAGTGACGTGGTGTATAACCGTTTGTTTACATATTGTCTGAGTACCTGTGAGTAGCCAAAATTAATTCACTCTAAATATAATATAAATTTTTTTATTATTTTATTAATTGTTATCTGTCTCTGTAGTGTCCTGAGGAAGACAATAAAAATTGTTGAAAGCTTGGCGTGGTACAACACTAGTATTTTTCCTTTTAATCACAACCCAAATTCATCAGAAACATCAATATAACTATACACACAAACACAATTTAATAGGAATTTAGTGAATGTATACTACACGCTGGTATGTCACAAGACAGTGTATTAGGGGCTGTCCTATGCCTGCTCTTCATTAGCGATCTACCAGAGAGCAAGGAAAATACCACGGCAACGCTCGCTAATGATACAGCAATTATGGTTGGGGAAAGCAATGCTGAATCGACCCACAAACCGAACATCACTATCTTCCGAATGTATAAATGGACGACATACTGATGAATAAAGCTCAATAAACAAAAGAAAATAACAAATCGGTACGTGTGGACTTCACGCATCAAAAATTTAGTATGTAGCCCACCTCAAAGGTCCTGAAATCCTGTTCGCCAACTAGGCAATGTATCTACCTAAATCACAATCAAAGGTTGTTGTTGTTGTTAGTTGCGAAGTCGTGTCCGACCCATCGCGACCCCATGTACAATGCTCCTCCACGCCTTCCTGTCCTCCACCATCTTCCGGAGTCCGTTTAAGCTCACACCGACTGCTTCAGTGACTCCGTCCATCCACCTCATTCTCTGTCGCCCCCTTCTTCTTTTGCCCTCTATCTTACCCAGCATTAGGCTCTTCTCCAGTGAGTCATTTCTTCTCATTTGGTGGCCAAAGTATTTAAGTTTCATTTTCAGGATTTGGCCTTCTAGAGAGCAGTCAGGGTTGATCTCCTCCAGGATTGACCGGTTGAATCAAAGGTAAAAAAATCTAATAGCTCAACATCAAATTCCAGACAATGTACTGGTTAATGGTCAGTAACTCTCCATTGCCCATTGAAAGTATGCTCTTATTTTACTAACAGGTCCTCAAGAACCATGTGGATTTACGACTCTGGTATGTCCGAAATGAAGACTTCCACTGTGACGTCAAAATGGAAACAGTTGAGGAAATCTGTATAGACTCATTAAACACCATCAAAGGCTTAAAGGCTACGTCAACATAGAAGCAGTCCACCCGTTAGAAATGGAACAACTGGAGTCAAGCCACATGATTTATTACTGGTGCTGTGATTATGGTAAAGGTGTAAATAACTAAGAACTAAACCAACAGAACTCTATTAGGTGCATAAATTTTATTTCATTGTATTTTTTCCAGAAAAAGACTAATATGAGGTTTGTTTATTTTCTAGATTGTAATACAATAATTCAACAACTTTATGGAGGAAAAAGAATATACATAATTTATTCAAACGCATATAATCAAAATCTTTTGAAATGTTCATATAATGATATTTTCACGAATCTCTTATCTGAATGCACAATAAGGCTGTAACATCAATATTCTACGGGCTAAAAGCCAGGACCGCCATGGATGCGGTACCGGATGCACGACCGGAAGTGAGTACACAATGGTCGTCCTATCTCCTTCCTCCGGCTGCCGTTTTCTCCCCCAAAATTGCCTTCTAGCACGAATAACCGTAAACAGGTCTTTACAACACTGTTTTTTCTCGATTAGGAAAACATTAGTTCAACCAATATGAAGATGAATGGCACAGAGCACAATTTCCACCTAAATAGTTCTTTGTGGTTATCAATTGATTTTTGTCAAACAAAATAATCTAGGGTTTTTATTTGATTTCATTTTGGAGTTTGTCTTAAGTAATGAGTAAAGCTGATTATTTGAATATGACCAACGACAACTATTTTAAGATTTCCAACATATCCTATAAACCTATTGCAAACTTTAAAAAAAATTGTTCATCTGAAAAAATGAAAAGTGTATGCAGTTTAATTGACATTTTGATTAAATATTTTCAGATAAAAGAAACAACTATTTATCCCCATTTCAAAACTGAACTACGTCTATCAATAAGTAACAATAAATGTTTGTAAAAATATAAATAATATATAATAATTAATTAAATGCAAATGCAAAAATAAATACTTTACGTCTTTATTTCCAACTAATAATGCCGTCATTTTGCACAAATACCAGTCTTTACAGGGAGCGAGTAGGCAGGGCACCAGGTGTAATGACAGTCCTTTGGCATGAGAGTAGGTTATTAGATGCTCCCTTCCGATTTTTAAAAAGAGGGGTGTTTCCCCCTCTTTAATCTGTAAATATTGTGTATAATACAATATTATTGTTCAGATGTAAAGTTTGTACGAATATACCAGATACATAACCTGAAATGTTCGTCCGGTTTTTCATTGTTTTAATACCATTGGAGTATATACATAAAAGAATTAGGTTTTACATCATGTTATACCCAGGGGGTAATGCGTCAGTTCAAGAAGAAATAGAGAACTATTCACTGAAAATTATAAAACATTTTCTGTCTTGTGAATTCAAAACCCATTAGTGCGAGCTTACTATAAATCGGCACTAGGGCAGCTCGTAAAATTTGCACTTCCTTGTGAGATGAAACATTAGTGAGCGCACTGCCCAAAAGTGGTTCAAAAAGCTTAAAAAATACTCTACAAAACGCAAAGCATCACTTTGTTAGAGTACTACCCATTTAGTTTTCGCGATAATTAGACATCCATTGGAGACAGCCAATGGTACCACCTCCCGGTGTACGCATCCATTTTTCGCCGCGTGTGATAAAAAGTCTCTACTTGCCGTGAAAACAATGAACGGCAAATGATTACACGCTGGACCTTGTTATTGTTCGTACATTTTTGAGGAACTCATTTGTTCAGCTTCCACGACTCCCAAGTCGATGTAACATAGGGCGAATTTTCTCAAATAAATTTTCATATCACCTCTTACTGTGCGAGGTTTTATCTTGTCCTGGTGAAAAATTACATCTCTCCTGTTCATGAGAGCAGGTTGTTCTGGGCCAGGGCAAGACATTCGTTCCAGTTGGCTTAAGTTCTTCTGCCCTGATGGTCTGGCCACGTGGCAGGAGTTCGTAGTACACAATGCCTGCCCTCCATCACCAAACACAAAACATATCCTTTCGTTGGTGAACATTTGGTCCTCGATCAATGGAACAGGATCATTTAATGACAGCCAATGGTACAACCTCCTGGTGTAAAAGATCCTTTTTTCCCCGCATGTGACAATCCTGTCAAGGAAGGTCTCTATTTTGTGCAGTCAAAACAACGACAAATGATTACCGGTTGGAGCTTATTACCGTTCGTACATATATGACCATTTCCTTAGCTTCCACATCTTCCCAAGTTGATGTAAGCTAGAGAGAATGTTTTCGTCGCTTAAGTCAAACATTCTGGCGAACCTCTGATATCTTTGATTTCAATGACTTCGATAGCTTCCCTCGATTCGTTGTCATTCAACATAGAAGTCCTTTTTAAAAAGATAGTTCCTACTCAGTAAGTTGTTTTGCAACGATCCGGATTTCGAGCCTTTTAGCTCATCATCAGGTTGAAGGACTTCTACAACCACGTCTCTCGATATGAATTGCCAAAGTGAACCCGCTGATACCTCCGCCAACGCGACGTTCCAATTAGCAGCTGATTTTTTTAATGACGCTCAATTTGAACGTGCGAAACGCGGAAATTATAACACAAATAAATATTAGAATAATAAATACTTAATATTACTTTTTTCTTTTTTTTAATGGCGCTCAATTTGAACGTGCGAAACGCGGAAAAATTCGCACGTTCAAATTGAGAGTCATTAAAAAAAAAAAACAGCTCCTAATTGGAACGTCGCGTTGACGGAGGTATCAGCGGGTTCACTTTGGCAATTCATGTCGAGAGACGTGCTTGTAGAAGTCCTTCAACCTGATGATGAGCTAAAAGGCTCGAAATCCAGATCGTTGCAAAACGACTTACTGTGAGTAGGAACTATCTTTTTAAAAAGGATTGAACACCACACTCACTCCATCATTTATCATTTCTTTTAAAACAGAAGTTCTTCTATACCGTGGTTTATCTTCAATATCATCATTCTCGAAAGCAAACTTTTTAACCACTTTTGGGCAGTGAGCTAACTTATTGTTTCATCACAGAATGCAGTGCAAATTTTCCTAGCATCTCTAGTACTGGGCTAAAGTTATGGGTTTTGTAATCCATGGTGAAGAAAATATTTTATCGTTTACATTGAACTGCTCAAGACACTTGTTTATGACCTGACGCATTATTATCTTGGTATTACGTGATGTAAACATCTAATCCTTTTATGTTTACAGAAGATGTTGATTAACGGTATTAAAGCTATAACAAATTAAAAACCGCACGAACTTTCCTTCTTACCTGGTATTATGTTTCACTTTTGTTAAATTATGTTGTTGCATTGTTTTTTCGAAGACTTGACCATTTGTTTTCTATGTGTAATTGAATCAACAGAATGGGATAGAAAGTGAAATAATCATGAAGTCCATGCGGGCTCGCATTGATAATATCTGTCCGAGGAGGGCTATTACGGTTACGAGAAAGATGGCAGTCTAATGTCCCGGACCCTCCCCCATCCGACGTCCTGAGTCATCTCATAATTCACTATTCGACGGGGGGACGAGAAGACAAGGTAATTATAATGGATTTATTCAAATGAGATCTCGATTTACGGCCAATATCCTATAGTGGACACAGATACTGTAATTATCCAGACGGGGAGCGTCCAGCGGAACTAGCCGGACCGAGTCAGGTTAATGACACCCGGCCATGACTTATCGTGCAGGGATTTGACTACACGCAAAAAGGACCGATGGCCGAAAACGAGATTTTGATTTACGCACTTCTCAAGTTACCGGATTGATAGGCGATTGATCAAAAATCCCCAGGACCATTTTTTCTCATTCCTTTCCACTTTCAATCATTTGCATACCTCGCATGTTCGCTAATCGATCGGACAAACCTGAACAAATAAATTAGTCAGAATCAGTCCCTTTTGGAAATATTTCGTGAGAATGTTGGGTTTGGTTAGATAATTAAGTTAATTAATTTTTTAAGGCAACTTCCACTCGTGTCTCGTGTTTGTGTTGTTTTTAATTATCATTCAAAAAACCTCAAGTTTAATCTTTAACGTGTTGATATAACACTTAAACACAACGCAATCAACAATATATATATATATACACTCTCAATTTGGCGGGAAAATTTAGTGACTTCCAACGTATCTCCAAAAACCTGGAGGGAAATCGTACTGTGATAAAATTTTAGTAACAAATAAACGTCAGGTTGTAGTTTGGCCGCTGATTTGGTCTATCAGACTCGCCGTCTTTAGTGACAGGTTTATACTGACTGCACTAATGACTACTGAGGATGATGAGAAGCAGATGCACTTTTGCCAGACCAAAGATAGGTAGAGCAAACAGATACGTATTTTCCGTCTAAGCGGTTGGTCCGTGGGTTATTTTGTCACTCGTGTCTTCGATATAAATATGAAAGAATTTGCGCTAATTTATACGCTCCAGAGATTGTTGATCTTTAAGATCTTGATTGTATCTTTTCCTCGGTTTTATAAGCTATCTAGGTTGTCAGAGCCAAGTTTACAGTTTGGACGACTCAATCGATGTTGAAAAAGTCTCGCTTCGTCAAGCAGATGTGGGCAATGAAGTGGAAAGATAAGCGAAGCCATGAATTTGAAGCCGTCGACGGTAAAAGGTAAATTACAACGGCCTCCCCTCGTACAGGGCTGTAAGGGGCTGGTCGATTCCAGAGACATTTGGCCACGGTACAAAACTACCTATAAAATCTATTATTTAAGCAACAAATTTATTTACTACATATTGAAAAATAAGTGGATGTTCGGATTTTTTCCCTTCGAAAAACTGTGTTCACGTATTAGGATTAGGTCAAAATGAAGTTTGAAAGTTGCGTTTACGACAAAAAAGAGATACTTTGCACTAATCCTTTTGAACTTTGCTTTCAAGCAAAGCCATAAATATCATTTCTAACAGAAAGAGGATCACGCAAGTTGTATATTTCCATTAAGCAAGAGCTTTTAGTTGATTGTTAATACGGTTGGATGTATCAGTGGGTTAAGTGCATATGCGAAACGTAATAGTGATTCTACCATGAAAGTATAACCTCACTTGTCGACTTTGAGGATTATCATTAAATGAGGCTCAGGAAAGCACGGTTACTAATGGATTTGGATGACGAAAATGTTTCATAATGAATTATAATACAAAATTTGTCAGAAGGTTTACGCTTTTTTACATTATTTCATCAACTATTGATACTATCATAGTATTATTGTATAGTGTATATTATAGTATTATAACGCTTTATTTTATAAACTTCATAATACAGGTCTGTCTAAAATAACTGCTAATAGAATTAAAGCCTTAATGGCAGCTAACGTTGGAAGGCTTAAAGAGGGCAGAACTATAGAATCTGAAGTCGGTGTGGGGGTCAAACAGGGGGCGCTTCTGAAGCCATTATTATTTATATTATTTTTGAACGGCATAGAAAATGAGATAGATGAAGAGGTATACAAATGAGAATTAAATTGAAAACATTAAAATGAAAACATACATCTTTTATGAGATAACGTTCAGTTACAAATAGTGACACGCAAAAACGCCGATGTTGTTTTCGATGATTCCGTCATAGATAAGGATTAGCGCTGATATTGATATTTTAGCGGAAAGACTATCTAAAGTCTAGAATATACAAAGTTGTCAAAGAAACTTGAAATTGAATTAGAAAAAGTAAAAAATATAAATTTTTAAAATAGGTGGCAGGATAGCAAAGAAAGACAAGTGTTACATCGAAGGT